TGTGTAGTGGAGCACAGAGCTCACTATTTAAAAGAATACATGAATGAATATCTTTATTGTCATTGTCGCTTGAACAGCTAATTTAAAACAAACATGCTGCCTCCAACTCGTAACAATAATCCCGGGAAAGCACCTGCCTAACATAGTGTTGAAACAAGGTGTTACTATTTATTATACTGCTTAGGAAAAAGCTCGCAAATGGCCTGAAATGGTCAGAGTACTGAGATTAAACATTAACTTTTTGGTAATTAGCTATACCTTCCTGTATTGCAGGTCCTGTTAAACTAGTCAATGCTTAAAACTTTGGCACATAAAAATAACCCTGCAGTGAAATTAGAGCCATGAAAAACCTCCAACGAGCTAGTTTAGGTGTTTGAATCAGCAGCAATAAAAGATGGATTCAGAGGAAGAATTATAAGCTTTCAGGATAAAAATCAGGGTTTGTGGTTTAATTGTTGATGTACTGAACAGCAGAAGTCCTCTTACCTGCAGACTCCATAATCTGAAGACAAAACACAAACAAACTATTGAAAATATAATAGATATATATCGGGTGTGTTTTTATGAGTCAGTCGTGACTCGCTGACGGTCAGTTTGGAGAAAAACATAACAAGAAAAAAACAAACAAACAAACGACTCTCCCTAAACTCTGCACCGAGTCTGAATCACCCCCGCAGGATCCATAAAGTCCAAGAATTCGGCGTTTTCCTCAATCACTCCTTCTACTCCTCTCTGCGCTGAGACGGAGAGACTGCCACCTGCGTGACGTCACGTCCCGTGCTCGTCAGGTGGATCAACCCGGAAGCGCGACACCACCTTCAGTAAATTGTTGGCATAGAAGCCATTAAAATGCAAATATTTATACACGGTTATAAGACCGTGGAGGTCAGTTTGAGAATATTTTGAAAATAAAAGCATACAATACAAAAATATAAACATTTAAAATTTTAAAAGGGAGTTTGTTCAAGTTCAAAAAGCTACTGAAAATAAATCATAGAGGTATATGTATTCGTATATGCCGATATCCATCTTTTGCTAGGTGTTTGCGTTATAATTAGATCAAATGTCCTAATTATAGCCTACTTGGTAAACTTGTAACTGGAATGATGTCATTTCTGATCCGTTTATATTACCCGCATCTTTGGGAACATAAACCTTATATAAACCCAGCTTTTATAATGTGGTAACATTAAAAAAAAATAGTCGTTTAGAAGAATTATTAAAGCCGAATTAACCATGAACAGATTTTTTTGATCTGCAACACGACGTGTGCAGAAAAGTATCACTGAACTACTGCTAACCTTAAAAAAAACCCTTTAAAACTTAAAGATTCTTAGGCGAGGTCTGAGCGTCCCATGATGCATTGCCTCAATACGGCATTGCACATCGCCTCCTAATTATATAAAAGTAATTCATCATTGTATGGAATATACTACTGTTAGGTTTTAAAGGGTATTTTAAGCAATTCTAACATCTGTAGCATCTGCACTGAGGCGGGAGGTCGACCCGTTCAGAACTCGCTTGACAATGATTAAGATTTTAGGATTTCTATACAGATGAACAAATTCCCGCAATTCATCAGCGCGATTAAAGGTTCAAAGCATTAAGAAACTGTTCATATTTATTCTGCATAGTTTGTATTGCTTTTAAACTAACTCCCACACGTTTTCCAACGCTTTTTGACCTAGGGGGGTATTTTCAACCCCTGACGGCAATTTCAAAGGGCAAAATGACGTTTCATTTTTAAATTTAATTCGGACCTCTAACAGCCATTCATACAATGAATGGACCAGTGTCTACTTTTAATAGTTTGTTGTTGTTGTTTTTTTAAATTTGTAAGCTCTCTGGGACGACACAAAGTTTTTAATTTTATTATCACATAAAACAAAGAAAAGGGGGACAATCAAAAATCTTTAAAAAGAAAAAAAAAGCATTTTTATTTTATTTTTATTACAATTTGGTCAAAATTAAAACTTATCCACTAAGTAGTTTCCCTGTAACAGCAAGAATGATGCTCAAAGACGACCTGGTTCCTTCCAAATTGATTTTATTCCACCTGTAATCTGAGGTTAGTACAGATCATCTCCAAACAGACTCCTGGTTTCTGGAGTTTTGTTACGACAGTCTGAAGCGCCTCCTCCCTTCCTGAGTCCTCCTTCATCTCCAGCAGGAAGCAGAAGTTCAGAGCTCGACCTTCGCGTGTCGCTGCAGAGGAAGAGGAGCAGAGCGAGGAAGCGTCTTCAAACCGCCGATATGTCCGTGTTCATTTCCCCTCCCTCCTCCGTGTGGGGAACAAATAAAAAAAAAAAAAAAACAGAAAAGAAGAGAAGAGTGTGGTGGCCATGCGTTTGATAGTTTCAGTCGTCATCCACTGTGGGTGTGATGGTCACGCCTCTCCTGATTTGTCCCCAACCAATCAGACTGCAAGGAAGACAGCGAGAGAGAGTTACACATCAGGAGGCGTGTCTCTGACACTGCAGCCAGAAACATCTGTGCAAACACCACACACATCTCCGCCCTCGCTCTTACCGCCAGTGTTTCTCCACACGTCTGCTCAGAGCGATCTTCTCTCCGACCTCTGTGCACACCGGGTTAGTCAGCACGATTTTGGCCAGATCAGCTTTGACCGCACTGACACGGCCGCCTGTCGACAGCGAGCCGATGTTCACCATCAGCACCTCGTTCTTGGACAGTTTCTGAACCTGCAGGTCAGGAAGACAGTCGGGCTGTTAATACCAAAGTCTGAGACGCTCACACATCTTTTCTCCCTTTCCCACAAGGCATTGCTCACCTTAGCAGCCTTCTTGTCTCCCTCCGTGCGGACTCCAAGCAGCCTCCTGAGCAGGAAATAGGAGATCTCGAGCTCAGTGAAGATCTCCGGGAGCGCTCCGACGGCGCCTAGCACCTGACCGACCATACGATCTGCTCGGCACAGCGTCGGGTCGATTTTGGTACCCACACCTGCACAAAACACATAGTTTACTCACGACTTCTCCACCATTTGGCTTGGTGCTGTAGTGACCAACTCATAAACATGATGAAGGGGATGGTGGTAAGTTTTGGGAGGACCAGGTCAAAGCTTAACACCGTTTCCATGCGGGGAGAGTAAGTGAAGGCGGTGAGGAGCTACAAATACCTGGGTGTTCACCTGGACTGGTGATGTAGCACCAAGGCTGTTTACAGTGAAGAACAGATATAACTCTACTTCCTGAGGAAACATTTCTTCTAAAAAAAAAATACAGCAGTTTTTGTTGCGGCCATCTTTTGGCGCAGCATCACAGCCGGTGACACCAGGAAGCCAAACAGGACAGTTCAGGTCAAACAGCTCGAGAGAGTTTATCAGCAGGAGGCT